AACTTTGGAGCTCACACTTTTTGCAGTCTCAGAGGAGGCTTGGTTGCTGTTTGTAGACTGCCTATACTTGCATTGTACTAACCCCACATCTCCTGACTTCTGATGGGCACTTGTAAACATCACACTTCTGTGTTTCTATGCTTGCTCCTATTGCTTCTACATTTTTTTTCTGAATATTTTTCTCCTCTTTTCTTCCCCTGTGCATGGTATATAGCCCTCTAAATATCATCAGGTAAACTTAAAACAGCATTGCCTTTGGGGAAGGGTGTGTGTGTATGTAACATGCCATTGGCCTCTTTTGCCCTTTCTTGCCCTCTCCCAGTGCTACTTGGTATCATGGACTTTGTTCTTCTACCAACAATCAGCATTTGCTACTGTCAGAAGCTTTTTGCATGGGCACGCAGATTACAGAGCCAAGCACAGTCCTAGACTAAACACCCATCATCATTCACCACTGCAGAGAGATGAATAATGAGGCAAATGATTCTTTCCAGTTGTTTCCTGATAAAGAAAAAAAAAAAACATATTTGATTCATTAAGCCCTCTGTGTAATGACTAGCTCACTTTGAAAGCTCAAGATTAGTTTTTCTCATTCAGTACCTCCTCCTCTTGATGCTGTGGCAATGTCATTCAAAGTTTTCCATTCTGAAAAAAACCTTTAATAAGAACTTTCTCATAACTCTCACCCTTGGAATACTCTATTTCTCTATTTTTTTTTAATATTCAAGCAATAGTAGAGAGACTTCAAAAGCTTTAAGAGGAAAATTAATTTGTGCAATTTACTTGAAAAAGTGTCTGTTACTCATTTATTACAAGGTCTTGCTAATTACTTCTGGTTATGCTATAAACAAACACTACTAACTGCATTTTCTAGAAACTGCAAAAAAATCATGTCTCCTCTTTCCTCATATTTCCTTACTGTTGCACATTATACTAGGATTCAAAGGAGAAATACTGTATTCCCCATTCCACAGCAAGAAAGAAAATGTTTTGAGGCATGATTATTAATGACATCAAGACCAAGTCTAAAGCTGCGGCATTCACACACAACTATTCAAGCTCATCTGAAAGAGGTTTAATCAATCAATATTATAGTGACTCTAAAGAAAACAGATACATAGACTCAGACAAGTGTTCTCCAAAACATATTTTAATATAATCCACATTTGGAACCTAGAGAGATTAAGAACAGAGAAATATGCTTGTTATTCCTTTCTTACATTACCGTTAAAACTAAGTTACCACACGTAAAAAAAGAAACTGCAGTATTTCAATACATGAAGCTAGTCCTGCATAGGAAGTCTCTCTGATAAAATGGAACAAATACAAAGTTAGCTAAAACTAAGAGAACAGTAACTTTTCACTCTGCCCTCACTGAAGGTTCAACAGTTACTTCCACACTCTAAGCCAAGAGATCTGAACATTATAAAACAAACTATATTTCAGTCTAGTATGTCTCCATCGACTTCCTCAAAATTCTTTTTGAGCATTAAATATCACTTGACTTTATTGTAGTCACATAAGATAGAAATTAGTGTTTTGTCTTTGTACTCACATTTGTCAGTACCATGGTCCTTCCAGTCTGCATATTTCAAAGCATGAGGAAGTTATTTCAAGAGCAGCCATATTCTGCCACAATTACCTTGCAGTTGATATAAAACTGAGGCACATGTTTTTCCTATTAAGGATTGTATCCTTTTGTAAGGATTTTGTCATAGCATTCCAATCCTTTTCTTAAATAGTGCTTTATAAAAATGAAAGAATTTAATTTCAACCAGTTTCAAAGCAGTTAAAAGAAAACTCTTTGGGGATTTATGAAATATAAAAATATTTCCTATCTAGGGATTGTTGCAATAACCACGCTGTTGCCTTACATTAAAAAAAAGAAAAAAAAAAACCCTACTTTTCTAAACAAATTCTAAAATTATATTCCTATTTTTATACTATTTAGACCTTGCCAGTAACGAGATTCCAGTTGTCTGCGGTTCCGATTGTTCAATGCACAGTGTAAAGACTTTTTTTTTTTTTTTTTTTTTTTAAACCAACATACTTTACATTTTCCTGGCTGAAGTATTTCCAAGACAATTAAAAGTGCTATGAGTTGAGTATTAGGGAAAAAAAAAAATCCAACAAGTAGGGGTGTTTCACTATCCTTGTCTTTAAAAGAGACATACCTGTAAATTATCTAACCAATTTTAAAACTTATTACACCCCTAAAGTGCATACATTTTTTCCCCTCTGTGTTCTCAATTTTATGGTCGGTAGCTCTAAAACACTACAAAAGAATGAGTTAAAAATATGGCAAAAGAAAACAATTATTTGTGTTCTGAATGCTCTTTAGTTCCTTGTTTTCACCACAGTTTACATTTGGCTTGCAACACTATTGCCTTTAGAATTGTGTTTCACTAACAAAATTTTATTCTCATCTCTGTATAAGTAACAAGGCCAAGAATAAAAAATGTTCTGGTCCAGAAAGTTGGTATCTGTACTGGAGACAACCCCTTGGTTGAATTAGGAGCAGAGTAAGGCCAAACTGCTATTACCCATTAGCACTGGCCATAGCAGCAGTGTCTCAGACAGGGTCTACTGTCCTAACCATCCCTCCCAGTCATTAAAGCCTTAACTAATCCCTAATATTATCCAACACAGTCTCTGTACCAATTTCTTTTAAAATGAAGTAAAAATAAAACAGAGTATACACAGGGCAATGTAAACATACAGGGCTATGAGGAAAGTGGAATTAAATACATTACATTGCCCATCTAGACACCTACATTTAAATATGTTACAAGATCAGAAATAAGAGCTCAGTCTTGCAAAATTAAATACTAATGTAATAGAGAAAGGGACTTTTAGATTATAACTTGTAGAAAGAGTACTTTTAAAAATTACTTGAAGTATAATGTGGATTATTTCTACTGTGGTGCAATTTGTCAATTATACCTTTTTACGGGTTAGTAGAAAAGCATATCAAAAATAAGAAAAAAAATCAAACTAATCCTTCTCACAAATAACAATTTGGGTGTCATGTGTTTTAATCACTACAAATCAGAGAAATTCATCCAATTGAATAGAAATTTACTGCTACAGAGTCACAAAAGAAACTAACAGGATTTCCTCATATTCAATTTCATACAAACAATATACCTATGCCACAGAACAATCAGGTGAAAGTTACTTCAAAATACAGAGTTTGAAAGTAGCAATACACAAAACAGCACTGTTTTCAGCAGATCTTCCTTTAAAAGCATCCCAGTATTTTTCCAAGGATGGATAGGCTAGTTGCCTCCATACTATACACTACAAGGAAATCTGAAACAGCCCAGAAGCAAGGAAGAACTATTCTCATATGCTCTCAAGACATTATTCCTCAGTTTCATTTACAAAGGACAAAAATACTCCAAAAGCCAATTAAAAAAAAAAAAAAAAGGACCCTCCTAAAGCAACATTTCCTTTATCTAATTCATTTGGCTTTTAAGTATCTCTGTTACTATCAAAAGCCTAGATCAATTTGTTGAATTTCTAGAGCAAGAAACTCATAGGTATATCTACTGCCCATCACTGAAATGAAACATCAGATCAACAATATCCAAGCTGCTAGACCGCTAAACTTACAGGCAAACTGTATTCTACTCAATAGAAATGAACTTCATTTTAAGACATTTGCAGGGCTAATATGCCATAATAAATTATACTACTAATCAACAGTAAAGTGCTGAATTATATTAATTACCTGAATCTCACTCTCAATTATGATCTTCATTTATAGATTTCTTATCAAGTCAAAAGAGCCCTTTCTGTTGTAAAAGCTAAGTTGTTGTGCAAATATTATATATATATATATATATATATATGGTAACTTTAATCAGGAGCTATATATACACAACAGAACTTCTTTCCCCCCCTTTAAGTACAGCTGACACAGTAGAGATGAAAAAAAAATCCATGCAAGTATTTATAAAGATATTTAAAATGAAGAAAAAAGGGACACTAATATAGAACTTCCAATACCCTGGCATACAACTGCTCACTATATTATAATTTTACTAGATGATGTCTAGATCTGGATTGATAAGCATCATGCCAACAACATGCTTTAGTTTCTTTTGTAGCTAAAGAAGTTGATTTGTAAATTTAAACTACAGCATACATTTGAACTATTTCTCATTAAATTGTATCATTAAGTTTGAGGTTGAACTTTGAGCAAACTTCACATCTAGTCACATAACCAGCACAAGCAAGACAGTGCAAAGAGAAAGGTGTCAGTTGTACATAAGGACTCTTCCCTAACTGCATGATGCAATAGAGTGATTTTCAGATTTAAAGTTCAAGTGGATTACCATGAGAACAAGAGAGAGTTTCTTCTCCCTAATTTAGCATAGATTTCCAGACAATCAAGAAGAAAGCGACCTCAGTTACAGCTAGAATAAAAAAGTCAAACCCAAGTTTGGAGAGCTGATATGAAGCTCCAAAATTTGTCATGCTATGAAGGCAGCATTCTCAAAAAGAACTCCAAACAAATTGCAAAAAAAAAAAATGGTGTTTCAATTGAAATTTGCTAACTGCTGCATAGAAATATGCTCGCACACAACAGTCATGTTTAAGCCAGTGCATAGAGAAGATAAAAGCACTTATGGTAGTTGCAAATGTTAACAAGTCCATACAACTTGTACAGTTTAGCAATGAGTCCATAGAAAAAGAAGAGAGTAAGAGTAGAAATGCTCAAGCAAAACCAAAAATGATGACCTTCCAACTGTATAAAATCCACACAACAGTTATAGCAAAAAGACATCAGTGGAAAATATTCAACTCAGTCCCAAACACCCAACAGGCAAATAAGACCAGAATAGATGAGCCTTTGGCAGACAATTTTAAGAGTCTAAATATGGCATTACATTTCTAAATAATCCAAAATATATATTAGATGGCATATATTAAATACTGGGTAATCAACTCTAGATCTGATACTAACAACACTTTAGCTAATGAGAGCAAGATAGAGCAAGCTAAGGGAATGCTGGTGTATCACAACAGCGCTTGAGAAAAATCATTGTCACCAAGTCGTGCTTCAACAACAGTACTCTGGGACTCCACGTTATCATCTATGGAGCAAAACAAAGTTCTCCATCTTTTCAGGGATGTGTCCTGCATAGTATATGTTATGATTCACTATAACACGAGCAGCAAGACACTGCAACGTAGTATGATTTATGGGCTGGATCAAATTTTTTGCCATTTCCTTCTCATCCAGCAAATCACTAGCAGTTTGTTTATGCGAGTTTGTGGCATCAAAGTGTGAACCTGACTTGATAAGAAGATTCATGATGTCTGGATGGTTGTTCAGTGCAGCAATGTGTAGAGGACTGTTGTTATCAGAATCTCTGACATTTACGTCAGCACCACATTCTACCAGTATAGTGGTGACTTGGAGAGAGGGAAATTTACAAACTGGGTAGCGCCCCACACATGTAGTATTCTTGTCAACAGCAAGGTGAAGTGGGCTGAAATTATTCTTCCCTCTAGGCTGAAGCTTAAGAAACTTGTAAAGAGTCTGTTTCTTAAAATGTTCCTGTTCTAAGCTACAAGGTACTTTTTCCAACAAGCAAATTAAATGCAAAATGATGGAAAGGGCCTTGTTCAGCTGTATTGGGTCTGGAGGACACTGCATTTGTTTCATAGCCCGTTCTATTTCGAGGACACTTTTGCACAGTATAGCCATGAGATCATCAAATGTAACAGTAGTGCCTAGCAGGCCTTTTGCCCTATCCTGCAGCATGAAGGAGAAGAGTTCAGCAAATGACAGTAAACTGCTGGCCGTCATAGGGCTCAGGGGATCTAGATTGCTCTGCTGCATGTCCAAAGCGTATTTCCATAAGTTGATGCATCGCTTGAAGTTTCCAGAGTCTGCATAGACAGCACCTCTGTATCTAATATAGTAAGATGTATCTGGGTGTGAAGGACCAAGAATACGTTCTCTAATTAACAGTGCTTGCATTCTCATCTCATCAGGGTCTGCGATAAGGTTTTCTAGTTCTTTTGAGCTGTTTACCTCTTTAGCATAATCATAGGCCATAATTAGTGTTTGTGGCATAGGCTTGCTTAGGATATTAGTCCTATCATTGTATCTCATCTCCATAGCTCGTTTCCAGTATTTCAAAGCACCAATCAGATCTCTCTTTTTATCTACAAATGTTGCTCCTAGAAGTTCTAGAGCATTTATGCACTCTGTCTTGCTGGTTTGTACATGTTGCGTCAGAAAGTCCACAATATTTGTGTGGCCGGTGACGCTGGCTGACAGAAGGGGAGTCATTCCATAGCCGTCCTTTTCCATCTTAGCACAATACTTGAGAAGCATCTTCATGATCTCCAAACTTCCAGATTCTGCACAATCATGTAATGCAGTGTTTCCTAGCAAAAGGAGAAAATCAAATACACAAAATTAAGTTATAGTTCAAACCTCACCATACTAATAGTTATTAAAAAAATAAAGCCCCCCACAAACTCATACCCCTATTCTGACTATGGACCATGAAAGGCTTTAGATGACTAGTTAAAATATTCAAGACCCAATTAAAATATCAATGCTGCCAGGTATTTATAAAAACGTCAAGCTTTTTGATTCGTATCTGAAATAATTAAAGAAGTTTTAAGGACCCTTTTGTTTCATTATTCAAAACTCCAAACAATTCTCCAGTACATGAGCAATTTTCTATCTGCTTTCAAGGATAAAGCAGAAACCTAAGCTTACCATCTCTAAGTTTTTATACATTCTCTTCTCTTGTCAAATATCCTTCCTTCCTCCCTCCCTCCCTATCTCCAGACATGATTTTAAAAAAATAATGAAATCTGTATACAAATTATAGCTGTGCTAACTCACCATTGGTTTTATCTGCCTCTACACTGTACCTCTTCTCTCTTTCATTCAAGCCTTTTAAGTGCATCAGGGCAATAATTGTATACAAAGGAAAATACAATTCATCACCACAGGCCCTCCATCTCAGCTGGGCCTTCAGAGACTGCCATAACATTCTGAGAGAGCTGGTTATTTCATTAAGCCTATGTATACACACAAACACATCTTTCTTGGTGCTGATATTTGTTCGGTCTAAAGTCCCCACATTGAATCCTCTGTTCCTCTGGTTAGGACTCCCAAAGCAGACAGAGAAAAAACAGCAACACAAAAGTAAACACCTTCAACATACGACATGCAGCCACCTACTTTAAGAGTCTGATTATTTATATTCTGATTATTTCTCATTAGCATGATATTGCACACCCCCTTATTTAAAGGCAATCAGTTTCTAACACTATGTGGGGAAGTTTCTAGCAAGCACTAGTGCCACTTGACTGAAAACTGCATTTGCAGAAAACTAGAAAGAAAAACATCAGACATCACAATTGAGCAAAAAACTACCATATATTTAAATAATAATAATTATAAATAGTAGTTATAAATGTATAAATAATTATATATAAAGTTCAAATATGAGCATTTCATTAGGGGAACAAGAGAAAATGGATGGCAAACAACTCTCCTGCCCCTCTCCCAACATAATAATAAAGCCTCTTCTGTGGTGGTTTGCTTTTAGAATAATACAGTTTCAACCCATCTTTTTCTTTATACATACTACAGGTTCAGGCATACCAACTTTATAGACTCCTACTATATCAATATGAAATTAATTAACAGAAAACCTCTGTAAAAACTTCCCTCTAAATGAAGATTTCTTACATGACTGGCACTGTAAATTCCAGTTAACTGGCAATCAAATCATCAATTTCTGTTACACTGTCAGCAAGTTTCCACATTCTCAAACAAGACTTTCTTTTAGAAAAGTTCTCTGTCCATTCATCGTCATCCGATTTGGCTTTTAGAAGCCAAAACAGAAAGTTTTCTAAAACTTTCTCATTTGCATTTTTGGCAAGGTTTCTGCTGCACCAACAAGACACTGATTTGCAGCAGGGTTTGCTGCTCTATTTCTAGATCTTTACAGAACTAAAGGAGGTTAGGAAACAAAGCAATAATCTTGAATTCTTTGGCTACTGTTTGAGAAAAGTGTGGTAGTTGTAGAGCCTAGTGATCTAGACAGCTTAGATTTACCTTTGTATTTTCCTTAATGTATTTTTTTTTCCATGCTCCAATCTCTAGAATGTGCAGTTCACTCTTCATATTACAGAGCATTTAGCTAGTGAAATTCAAATAATTCCTTAATTTGCTCCCAAGCTCTGTCTTAAAAGCTGATCACCCTATGGAAATAAACTAAAAAATAAAGTACAAGTAAAGGCTTTCTATCAACACATTATTTGTGCCTAGAATATATTGCTCATGCTATCTTAAATAGGCTAAATTTAAATGTAAAAAATTTGAAGTCAGTACCTATATTAAAAAAGACTAGCACTCATATTTCAGAAATAAAAATGTTATTCCTTTCTCATTTATAATAACTTGAATTAAGTCAATATAATAATTTTGGTGTCTTCTGGCTTTTGAATATTTAACTTCATAGCATTCTTATTTTCCTTCTAGTAAGAAGCATGGCAAGGGGGTATGAAGCTGAAGTTTGAAGACAGACAAAAGCAACTTGAGAAATATCTGGTGAAACTGTCCTCTACATTCAATAACTACTTGTGACTAGCAGTACCATTTGCTTTGGATCCACAACACAACTTATCTTTTGAGTTAGCAGATTATCAAATAGCAGCTTGCCTTTATCTTCTGTGTAAATCACTAGGATGAGAACAAGCTTGTCCAAGAGTTTTACAAGTTTTAGTATACAGTAAAAAAATGTACAGACTCAAGGTATGTTTGGATGAAAGTGTTCTAATGGGAACAGAACATTTTGCCTCTGCTCTCCTGTTTATATTCCAACCATCCCCTCCCTCCTCATTCTCTTCTAATCTTCCACTTCTCAAAACTCTATATCTAAAGTTAATCTGCTGTTTCTTCCTCAAACTTTTGCTGGTAGACCATCAGAGGAAGAACAGGAAGTGCATTTCAAGCCTGCCTTGTTGTTTGCAATTCCAACAGCTGAAAAGACAGTGGTAAGGAGGAACAGTCATTCAAGACGAATAGCATCAAAATTTAAGCACACCACAAACAGAAATATACTATAATGAAAATTTAACCACCACTCTAATCAAATTCCTACCAAAGATACACTAAAAGCTATTTGCAAAGCCTTATGGCTGAAGTTTAACACATTTTCACAATTATAGCAGACAGAAAGCTACAAACACACTTTGCCCCCTAAACCATTACTTTAAGTACAAGTTTCAAATGTTAAATGAAAAAAAAAAAAAACCCTCAGAAAACACATTTACCACATTAACACAACAAACTTCAAAGAACTTGCAAAATGTTATTTTCCTGATATATTTCTGAAGAAAAGCTGATTATTTTGCTATCACTTACCAAAAAGCCGAGGAAGACACACACACACACACCCCACTCCCCACAAAGTAGCACTTGAAATTATCTGTTAGATCAAGACACACAAAACTGAAACCAGGCCTTCCAATGGCAAGTGATTTTCAATTCTCAAATACCCTATGCAACTTTTGTTTCTAATGCAGAGCATTAGGTCAGTTACAGGAACTTCAAGTATCAACTGGTCTGGTCACACTACAGGTTCTACCAAGACCAACAAGTCACAGCAACGGAAATAAATCACCTAAGTTTGGAGTACAAGTTTGATGAATTTGTCAACTATAGTCCATCAGTTAGAATTTCCTCCATCCTTACAACACACCACAGATGAAAAATTCTTGATATTTCAATATTCGCAAGTATGGGACTTTTACATTCTTAACACAGACAGAGGTCAATCCATACAAATACACAATAAACACATTAGGCATACACATTACATAAGCCTTCATGCTGTGCTATGTGCTAGAGAAAGTCTAGGCAAAACAATAACTACAGACAGCTGCCAAGCCAGAACTAAAGACAAGCTGGCACCTCAGGCTGTCTGTCCTTCTGGACTCTGTGACAATGGCAAGGCCAGATTCATCTTAGTATAGGCCTCCTATCATCATCGGTTCAGAGTGTATTAAAGCCCACACTCCCTCCCTCACAGCAGAGCTCTTGAGACACTGGAATTGGCACTCTCCAAATAATCTTTCTAATGCCAATCTAGATAAGGCCCGGGATAAAAGAAATTCAGAATAAGAGGTGTTTTTACCAGCACGTCAGAACTCTGCATTAGCTCTGCAAATTTAACACTCATATTTCAAACTACCAGCGTACATAGATGAAGTTATATTTGAAGTGTT